GACTTTGCTGTTGAAAAAGTGAGAGGAGAGGGAGGGAGGGAGCGGGAGGGATGAGGATCAAGTCGCCTCCACTGAAGCCCAAATCCCGCTCGATCAATCACCGATCTTCCTCCCAGCTAACGGGAGTCCCGTCAATCCTGACGGATCAGCTACCTTGCACGAATTCGGCTACGCAAGTAGAAGTTGGGAAATCTATGTGCACGGACAAACACTCATCGAGATCGAGGAAATGAATGCGCAAAACTGGTTATGCGCGACGACAGTGGCCCTGGTAAATGCTCCTCGAGTGAGTGCTCAAATCGCGATCCCTAAAATGCAGGTGTAATCTACTAAGCCGTTGTCCGTCGCGTTGCCACGGACCCGTGAAATGCAAACTTTGCAGTTTGGTTATGTTTATTCCATACATAGGTGTGAATGCAAAATGACGGACCGTGGGGTGATGCGTAGGAAAGTGGAGATGCGGTGTGCCAATGATTTTCTTCTCGTTTTCTCACACAACGAATTACAACAAGAACAAAAGTTAACAGCGAGGAGCATAAGTATAATCAGACGTTTAGAGTAGCAGATTCGACTGCCCAGGGGTTGGAGAGTCTTATCTGCAGCGTGCCAGTAGCTTATGCATCGGTCTTGAGGCATACACCAGCAAGACCAACGACGGGTGAGACATGAATCCCCTTTTTGCCATGATCTTCGTCATTGCTGTCTTCGTTGGGCGTGGAGACAACCGAAGGGCCCAAGGACCCCAGGCTCTGGCTGCCGTTTGCCAGGTAGTGGCGTAAAGCCGCGAACGCCGTGGGCAGGTCGACCAGCTGGGAGTAGCATCATCGTTAAAGGTGTGCCCAATATGGGCGAGTGAAGCCTGACTAAAAGGACACCACCTCGATGAACGGGTCTCTTTTATAAGTTATTTGAGAATCGCATTTTTACCATTATTGCCTACGTTTATAAATTAACGAAGGTTTCTGCAGTGTGTCCGTTGCTCTGCTCCTATTCTTAGCGTGCTTTTTAGGTCAGAGGGGCCAAAATTCAAATAGGCTGTGTGTCCTACTTTTCTGTTGACATGTTCCTCGACGTTTCCTCGTTCTTCCATGGGTCCCGCTCCCACTGGAATGCACGCCCACAGGAGCAACGTCGGACGTGGAGCTTGCGCAGCATCTACCACACCCACCTGGACTCGATGACAGGGCTGTGTCAGGACCACCGGCGGTGAGTTCGGACGCAGTGGCTGACAGAGCCAAACGGCCAGTCCACGCATGTCACACACACACGACCTGGCCAAACAGACACGCATCGAGTTTTCGTAGAAACGAGGGGTCAGCTCGGATCTCACTCGAGCGTTTGCTAATCTAGTGAGTCTTCATACAGAAGGGACAACACATATGCGCATTTCTGTGGATGAAAGTCATTATAAGGACGATCCGACCATTACGAAGGAATATGCTCAACGCGTGTCTCACAGAGTGTTGGGAACTTGCACAGCAACTACCTCATTCTCTCCTCCCTCACTCATCTGGCTCCGATAGCGATTCAATGTCAAAACAACTGGAGTCGGTCTGGGACGCAGTGGCGGATAAATTGACCATCCTGCACGGCTTGTTCGCCACAGCACGTATCATGCCTTTTTGGAAACGCCTGGAATCACACATGCGAGAGAGTGTCATAGAGGCCACGCCAAGCAATTGAAGTCTGATTCTCAGTCCTGAGAAGGAATGCATCATTCCTTAAGTTTGCAGCCTTCAGAGACCCAACCACTAAAGCGTCGTGATAGACTCAAGCACGTCGGATATATTATGGTTGTGAATGTGCTGATGCGCTGGGGGGACAGATCCCCACTGTCGGTCTCACACTGCCTTTTCTCTTTGACCCACCAGGCGAATGTTTGGACCCGTGAACCAGCTGGTGAGGCGGTTGAGCGGAGCAGCTGACAAAGCTAAACCAGCCCGCCTGAGTGCGCAACACACGACTTGGTTGACAGATAATGCATCAGGATGCACCAAACAGCATGCTTTCCACTTACGCGAGAGGTGAATGCCTTGAAATACACAGTGTTTCGGCAGTACCACTGTGAACTCTCAGAATTTACGCCTCTTTTGTGAGTGAAAGAATTTGCCAACAAGAAACCAGTCTTTCTGCATTCAAACAAAATTACAACGCTCATCCTTCCATGTCTGTGTTCCTAGGACATTGGATGACTCTGTGGTTATATGTTTTTGCGACGGACCATCCGGTAAGTCCCATATTTAGAAACGTTACGCCTATGAGGTACGTTGGCTAGTTAGTGCGCAGCAAAAAGACAGGAAACCGACATAAAAGTGGAATATCGTCATTCATATTCGGGTTGTGAAATGCGTGGAAGAGTTCAACATAGTGAATAAAAGGGCAGCAACGCCCAATCACTGACCGATATTTTTAGTGTGGAAATGATCTTCCGTATTAATTGCGTTAGACCAGCCTACACGGCAGGTGGGCCCAGAAACACATGAATACAACTTAGGGTCTTTTTATATCCAAGTGTGGACTCATGTGCGATCTCGAAGCACCGAATTAATAAACGATATGCTCATTTTCTCAGGATGATGAAAGTGGTCTCCTGTACGATAGATCAGGACATTTGAGGATGAACCACATTCCCATAATAATTTCCGATGTTTCTTTCACTTAGTGTGTTATTAACCCGCATACCTCCTCAGCAGATACACACCTTCCACATTAGTTGTGGTCGGTCCCTGGTTAACACTTTGCCTCTTAAGCGCAAGATACAGCACTCTCAGGAGCTGCCCCTGTGGCGGCTGACAGACACGAGGCACTTGCGGGCACATTCGTATATGCGTGTGTGTGAGAGAGGAGAGGGATATACGCTTTATTTTGAAAGCATCGTTCAAATTCTTCAGTAAAAACGATCCCATCATTTTGATAAGGATATAAATTTACAGATGATACAGGAACAAATAGGCTGGCGTAAAACTGAATATCTATTAGAGGAGCAGTTCAGGAGGCGGTTTTTGTATTTAACTTTCTTTGCATGTAGGGCGTCGTGCCAGAAATGGCGATACAGAATGCTGACATGCCGATGTGCGGCAAAAGACATTTCGGAGGCCACGGTGCATGGAGCGCGAAGACTTCTCAGAAATTACCTCACAATGAAGGGGTGGACAACAGCATCCAGAATTCGACCAACGAACTGCTTGATCGTTACGAACTGTGGTTGCATTATAATATCGACTGGAAATATGTGAGAAACATGAGCAGTAGAAGAGAGTATTCGGAGGACTCGTTTTAAAATTAACACATCCTTTTAAGAAAGGTGGAAAAAATAACAGGAGAACAATAAGGACGAGAGAAAGCATTCAGGCATTCATAAATCGTCAGATTACGGATTGATGTATGTGGTAGGCGATTCGAGGACAGAGTAACATCAAGTTACCAGAAAGAGAATTCTTCATCGGGAAGAATGTCCAAGGAATCAAAATGGGAGACTGTTTTCCAACGACCATGCAGAGACGTGATCCGAACCATTCTTCGTAGATGGGAGGTGAGTTTGATGTTTCAGAGGGTGACCAACAACCAAATCGTCAGCATACTTGATATACAGGCAGTCATTTGGTTATCTCGGGCCAGTAGTGTGAAAGGGAAAATGGAACCTTGAAGGACTTCACAATTATTGGAAAGAACAGAAGATTCCCCCTTGCCAGTCCGGACAAACTGTGCACGAAAAGTAAGATAATCGCCAAGCCAAGAAATAGCCCAGACAGGAGGGCTGTACGCGGATGTTTGGCCAAGGAAGAGGTGGTGAGGGACAGTATTGAAGTCAGAGGAATAGTCAAGAAATGTACATTCGTAAGCGCGACATTTATCTAAATCTCTTAGAGCGGAGTTTGTCACAAGAGCGATGAGCGCTGATGACCTGAGATAACCAAATGACTGCCTGTATATCAAGTATGCTGACGATTTGGTTGTTGGTCACCCTCTGAAACATCAAACTCACCTCCCATCTACGAAGAATGGTTCGGATCACGTCTCTGCATGGTCGTTGGAAAACAGTCTCCCATTTTGATTCCTTGGACATTCTTCCCGATGAAGAATTCTCTTTCTGGTAACTTGATGTTACTCTGTCCTCGAATCGCCTACCACATACATCAATCCGTAATCTGACGATTTATGAATGCCTGAATGCTTTCTCTCGTCCTTATTGTTCTCCTGTTATTTTTTCCACCTTTCTTAAAAGGATGTGTTAATTTTAAAACGAGTCCTCCGAATACTCTCTTCTACTGCTCATGTTTCTCACATATTTCCAGTCGATATTATAATGCAACCACAGTTCGTAACGATCAAGCAGTTCGTTGGTCGAATTCTGGATGCTGTTGTCCACCCCTTCATTGTGAACTAATTTCGGAGAAGTCTTCGCGCTCCATGCACCGTGGCTTCCGAAATATCTTTTGCCGCACATCGGCATGTCAGCATTCTGTATCGCCATTTCTGGCACGATGCCTTACGTACCCAGTTACTGTACCCCGTTCCCAGCTGAATTTACCGGCCTGAAGAGAAGTTATAGAAAGCTACGTTCGCTCGCCAATTTGTCACCTGATAAATTGCATAGAATTTAACCAGAAAAGATTTAGCTCTTTGCTGATCTCGAGGGACTTGCATAATTTCAGGCTTTGAAGTATTTTGGCGATTGCTTTTCTAGGCTGTAAATAACCTCGAGTTGGCTGATTGTCAATTGAACCGTGCTGACAAACATATTCCACTTGACTGAGTTTCCTGAGGAATTTCGACGAGTAAAAAAATATTCCAAAAATGCACAAGTGATTCTGTACGTTCGGTTCCTGTATCAGTGCCAGAGACGGTAACTGTGAAGTGGTAACCAAGTCAAAATAGTCCCAGCCGGAGCTCAGAACAATTCCGTCTTGCTCAGTCGGGCATTAATCGCGGTCCGCGTATCCTTGGATCTCCTCGGCCATGCGAGCCGTCCAAGTGTCCTGCATCTCGCGCAACCGCTGTTATACAAGGCGGCGACTGCGATAGTAAGCAGCTCTGTCGTCGTCAGTGGGGTGGTCTACGTAAGCTTTGCGTAGGCAGTTCTTCTCGGCGAGCAGATTGCTGATGACGGCGTCGTTGTCGTCGAACCAGTCCTGGTGTTGGCTGGGTGCGCGACCGAGGACGGCTAGCGCCATCGACTGGACTGTCTCCCGCAGTTGACGCCATCGGTTCTCCACGGAGGCGTCGTCGTTAGCGGTGGCAGCGAGTGGAGGGTTGTCTAGCCGTTGAGCTAGTTCATTGCCGAAATGGAGATGGAGAGCAGGCAAAGGCAACAAGGCAATATTCAACCTGCCTCTGGGTCGCTTACATTGAAGTCTTCTCAGAGGCTGTAGGCAAGTTGGCAATTTCGATATGACGAGTGGTGGTCGGTCCACACATCGGCACCCTTGATCGCCTTTGTCTCCAGCACGCACCCTCGGTCTCGCCTTCGGACGAAGACATAGTCCAGCAGGTGCCACTGACGCGACCGAGGATGCATTCAGGTGGCCTTCTCTCGCAACAGGAGGCACAAGAAGGCGTTCGTCGAGATGAGTTGGTGTTTGACGCAGGATTATAGAAGGGCAGGCTGTTGAGACCATGTGGACCTAGCAATCCGCTCCAGGCGTCATGGTTTGTGCCGACGCGGGCGTTGAAGTCAACAAGGACAATCAACTTGTCCGCCTTCGACACAGTCACCAGGAGTGCGTGCAGGTCTTCGTAGAATTTATCTCCTGCGGCGTCAGGGCTGGTCATCGGCGGAGCGTAGGCGCTGATGATGGTGGCGGATTTGCCTTCCTGAAGATGCAGGCGGAGGCAGACAGGCAGTCGTCCCACAACATAATTCCGGCTGGCAAAGGCTACGCCCGCGTTCCGTCGCTCTGCCCTGGGGCGGTCGCTCCAGAAGAAGGTGTAGCCGGCACCCACCTTCTCCAATTGCCCCTGTTCGGAGAACCGAGTCTCCCTGAGTGCGGCGATGTCCACCTTGTAGCGCGCCAGTTTCCGAGCTACTAGCGCACTCCTCCGTTCCGGTCGATTTCGCATCGGCTTGTGTAAAAGGGAAAGAACATTCCAGGCTGCCAGTGTGGGCCGGCTCATCCTACCAGTCTGGCGATTGGGGCGGTGGGGAAGAGGAGAAGGAGGCGAAGAATAAGAAGAAGAGGGAAGGAGAGGAGGAGAGAGTGAGTGCTGTTGTTTCTTTGCTGTTTTTTCGACCGTGAGTTTAAGGTCTGCGACCACGGTCAGCCTGCAAACGACGTGGTTCACCAACATTTGGGCATGGCACCTTTTAAAGCCCCTTTCACCTCGGAGGTGAGTAGTTCTATCCATAAGTAGGACTGCGGATTCCGAAATTCACTGTGGGCCACGGCTTTGATGCAGTGAAATAACGACCCGAGTTAGTCTGGGATAGCCTACGATATCGTCGTAAGTTTGCGGCCTCTTGCGGTGTGCCAGACGGAGCCTCGTCTCGACGATGGCAATGCGAAGTTCCATCTAACGAGCTGACCAGCGGAATCCACAATACCGTGCACGCAGATGCGCACACAGATACACGTACCTGGTTTAGCTCGCCGGTCGAGGCGGTTACCGGAGTGTGGCCGCTAGGCAGAGCCTAGCTTCGGGGAGGTACAGGTGAGAGTTGGTTGTCAGCAAATGAACACTAGGCGTAGTCTGCACCTGCAAGCAATTGAGTGACCTAATATTACCTTCACGTTAACTCACCGTTGGACGCCCCTACACCCCACACAGACAGACACACACTTCAAGACAGTCTCAACCGACCTAGCAACTGCTCAGCTCGATGGTCCCTGAGTATTAATATTGGTAAGTATGTGGTCTAGAGACTCCGTACCAGAAGGATGCCTGGTGAGAATGATTCCTTCCGATAACTCCTTGATAGGCAGCCTCTTTCAAATGTTGAGCAACAGAAGTGCCCCGGCGTCCTAATAATCTCCTAGCTGAAACCATCATCACAGTGTCTAAATGACGATAAGACGCGTGATATGGGTGTTGTTTGCGCAGAGACGAGAATTTGAGCAGACTGCCAGGGGGTTGTTCAGAAGAATCTACGGGAAATTCGTTCGGTCTCACTTGTAGTTTGTTGTCCAGGCATGGCTTCCGTGGTTCAAAGATTATCGCCAGCTGAAAAGAATACAGACGAGGGCAACGAGGATGGTTAAGGATAATGGTCGTTTGTCTTACGAAGATGCACTGGCATAACGTAATCTATTTCCTCTCAATTATAGGTCACTGCGCGGCGACCTCATTCAGACCTGCCAGATTGTCAGGGACCGTGAGCGTGCACTAAACTTTTATGACATGTTGGAATTGGTTGCGATGGACCATCTGTTTAGTTATTCTCTTATACTGCAGAAGAATTTGGTGCATTCGGAGTCCGAGGGAACATCTTCTCACAAAAGGGCCGTCGTAGCAATGAACAACTCCTTGACGCGGTTGTCCTTTCAAAAATTGTTGAAACATTAGAATAAAAACTAGACAGTCATTTGATGCGAGACTTCTGTACATATAATCAAGTTTGTGTCAGCGGCGGCAGTTTGTGTCTGGCTCACAAATACCGATGACTTTACCATATTCAAAATTACCGGTGTAACAATCAATTCTATGGCTATTTTTGGATACAAATAGGAAGCTCAAAGGCGAAGGGCTTAAACCTCCAGCAGCGAACTGGTCGTGTTTGGTCCTGCAGCCCCACTGGCGGTAGGGAAACCCCGGGGGCCTGTAATGCGGGAATAATAGTAGTAGGGATTTTGCCGGCGAGGCCTTAGGGCAGGCCATGGGAAAGGTGGGAATGTAAATAGATAAATAAATTTATTTATAAAAGACCCTTGGGGGTCTTATCACAGTAAGTCAAATAAGATTTTCATACGAATTTTAGAGCAGGTAGGCAGAATCTCCAGACTATCCAGTTCATGCTTTTTGAATAAGCAGTTTGGTCAGGAAAACGATTAGCAAGCAGTAAAAAGACTTTTTTACCTAAAAAACAACATAAATATTATAGAATTAACTTTGAAGTAGAAAATCTGTTACTCATGAACGGATAAGAGTGGGGGCAGACAGCTTGGGGTCGGAATGAGTAGATGACATTAAGAACCGCGAAAATCATACAGTACGTGACCTAACTTATAAAATGTGCCGAAATTTACGAATGATTGGCAATCACTCGCAAACCGACACCATTTCATGAGTTAAATGTCGATATTAATTAAGTATACGTTTAATAGATTTTAAATTTCGTTTTAGAGGTATAGAATGTATTCACTATCATAAACGCAATAAATATGAAAGCAGACATAAAATCACGTATAATACCAGCGTTTCTGTCAAGTTTACAATCTAAATAGCGTTAAATAAGTAGTGTGACTTCATATATGACGGTTTATCATCTGCCTACATTCTGGGTTTAGATTTCGACACAGTTTTCCAGTGTTTCATAATTTCACTAGCGATTCGCAGTTAAATGAGATGGAGTTCAATAAAAGAAGCTGGATTTTGCTTGATTTCGCGATGGGGACGTCGTAGGAACAAAAGTTGTCAGAAGATGACATGCCATTAGGCCGGTTGGTGCCTAATAAATTTAAATAGAACTGACAGGCGTGATCGTAAGCATACCATTTTGTGTTTATAGAGAGAACTTTTCTCCCGTTAAATTTATTTATACTCTTCCTCTATGGTGATTCCACCACCTTTTTGCACTAAATCCAAACGCTCCCTCTTTTTCGCATCCAAATTTGCCTTCCATTGGGATAATCTTCTACCAATAATTAGGTCATAGCCTAAGTAATCGACATTCATATCGAAATTGCATAAGTACCTTACACTGAAAAGAATAAAGTCACTATTGGTCGTTTCATTTCCAGACACTCAACTTCTTGACGTTGAGAAGGACCCCCCCTGAGCTGTAGTGGTATATCAAGTGGAAACCTTCGCTTCGACTTGTATAACCCCCTGTTTTAATTGACTACTAAATTCGCTGTTATCACTCCATCCCCATAACTATGATTTTTGCGGTTCTTGATGTCATCTCCTTATTTCGACCCCAAGCGGTTTGTCAACGCTCACGGTAGAATCGTCAGTATTCGCTATCGTCTAGTAGCTTGATCGGCTAGCAAATAGATCCCACGGTCGTATCTCCCTTGTCGCCTCCTTGTCTGGACTCGAAGCGGACTGTGACCGATGGCGTCTGGGTCTCTCTCATCTTTTCACTTCGACACGAATAGCCTCATTCGGTGTATGTATCCTGTCTTGATGATGTCCTTATGGAGGCCCTTTAACATTACCGCATGCAAGCCAGTCCTGTCTGATCAGCATACCAACCCCTTCGTAAGCGACATTTTTTTGCCCTGTCTATTCCCTTTAAGAAGCCGTTAAACACTACCATAGTGAACCAGATATGTCGTGCAAAATATATAACAGTAATTGTCGGGCGCAAAACCCAATAAAAATTTCCAGAGAGCGAGAGCACCAAAAACATGATAATAATGCACAAAAATGTACAGGGTCTTTTCAATATGACAGACGAAATTAAGTTTACCATGGCCTATTTGCAAGGTGACTTTATAGCCCTAACTGAAACATGGTTGAATGAGCATATGGCAGGCGCATAAGTCATGCTGGACGGAAGTTAGGTCATACGCATCGACCAAAATGAACGCAGGAGTGGGAGAATCACGCTATTCATTTGGGGTGCCATTTATTACATCATGGATGGATCCTCACCAAAAAGTCCATTGGTCGCGAAATCCTAAATTGTAAATGGAAAGCACCAAACGAACGGGATCTACGTATTGCGCTGGCATACAGACCCCCAAGACAGCGGAATGCTATGGACGATACACTCATTACGAATTTAAAGCAGATCAGCCGTAGTAAACACATAATGATACTTGGCGATTTTAACTCTCCGACATTGACTGCGAATAAATGCTGTGCATTCGATCGGAGAACTCATCACAACAGAGTCTGCTCAGTCGGTTACTAAAGAATTCCTTATTCAGCCTGTTACAATGGACGGCAGTCAGGCTGTTTGTATCTCATCCTTATCAGGGATGAAAACTAACATGCCCCTGAGTTGTAATGGGTGTCAAGTGACTAAAGAAGGAATTTTGCAGAAGTGATGAGACACTATCCGAGCCAGCAGCTGTTAAAATACGAGTTTTCGACGGGTGTTTCGCAACTGTGGCTGAGGGCATAATACAGGAGACACACAGTGACAGTGAAAAACCGTTAACGGGAAGTCTGAAGTCGTGGACAAAAAATACAAGATACGCATTTTTGAGTCTGAAATGCTGCCAAAATGTGTCAGGTTGGTTTGTTTACCAGAGGGGCGCTTGATATTCTTTGAAATATCGACAAAATAATGAGAAGCAGATGATAGAGATGAACAACGAACTAACGAACAAGTCATTCCTTTTAGAAATCTCCACTTCATTAGGGCGTTAACGTCCTTCAAGACGCTACGCAAGTTAAATTTGTACAGCACTCCTTTCGGCGAATTTGAAGTTCGAGTTAGAAGGAAAGTGCTCCGTCAGTTCTAGGCATGCCGATTTCGGTAGGCGAGCGAAAATAAAAATCTCATTTAAAAAGTCGTTAGGTATTAGAAGCACGACTGGGCCTTTGAAAGTTGAACGACAATAGGGACAACACCAGTTATAGGACTTTGAAGCAAATCAGTGCCTTTGGGTAGACGCATAGGGCATTATTTCGCGATTAAGTCTAGCTATCACTGTCAACCTAGACTTAGAGTAAATTTTGAAAGGTCCGGCCGCATGCAAGCAGTGGAACTGTTTTCAAGATAAAAAATTTAAAATAGATAGTAAGAGCTTGGTCTGCTGGAAAATATCCACGAACATGGAAGGGAAAATGGCCTTATAGGCATATGCGTATATGCAATATGTAATATTTAATAATAAGGGAACGCTTTTTCACCCGTTTCTAGCCATCACATAAAATACTAAGATCTTTACTGGACATTAATATAAGCTATTAAAGAAGGATGACGGGAAGGAGACTGTGACTTTTGCCTCACAGAATGCCAAACCTTTCGGGTTTTGGCATACGGCAAATATTAACTTCCACCCCCATGAACCGCGCCACGTGTCTCTGCGTAGCAATCTTGAATATATGATTGACGCAGAAGGGGAAGATGAGCTGCCGGACGGACACCAGTTTTCCTCCATAAAATTGACTGGAAACACAAAATTTCCATTACTTTTCTGTACGTTTGTTTTATCTTGCTAAAATGTCGCTGACCGAGTTAAACCGGGAGTTGGTTTAGGTGTTTTGGCGACGTTCGTTCTGGCCACGCGTATTCATTGATCTGATACGTCAGCTCCCTCCCTCGCTTGCAAAATGTCTCGGCACAGAAATCTACGGAGGTTGGATTCCGATGGTAACTTGTTGTCCTCCAAAGTATTTAATTCGTACAATGACAGACTACAACACATATGACGATCTTGTTCCAAGTTCCGTCGATGATGATTACGGGATTTCTCCTAACACAGGTGCCTGGATGATAAGTCTTATGCAATTCCTTAGCCAACCAGTTCTTTTATGGTCCCTCGGGTCATGCGAACGGTGGTCACTTACCACCATTTACAAGGACGCCGCTCAACTTAACTGAAGAAGAGTTTCCCGACCAAGACGAGACGTTAGGTAACTTTTTTTATTTTTTTATTATCCAGCCGCTGATGCTGCGTCAGGAGGCAATGCAAACGAAGATAATTCGATGCTGGAGTTACAATTTGATGACCTAATCCTCGAGAGTGGGGCTGACCAGGTGGTTTGTCAAGGTTTGCGAACTTTTCCTACGAATTTCTATTCTAAAAGGTGTCAGAACCAACGTTTTCCCTACAACAACTTTTGTGAAATCCGACAATACTCTTGATACATCAGATGAACTGCACTTTGACACATTTGCCCAACTTACTGGACTGACTCATCAGACCTCCAAGCCTCCCGTTTCGTTAAGGCACCCAACGCCATTCGTTCAAAAATCTATTTCCGCCTTTACTTTTCCCTCCAGGCTAGAGGAGGTGGCTCAGCACGTGCTAGGAATGCAGAAAATTCCCGACTTATCTTCTAAGACACTAAAGACAGAATCAGCGCCACACAACCCACCCTCACGTTTGGGATCTTTCTTCCAAGCCATTAGCTCTCCCCGCTCGCGCCAGTTTTCGGATTCCCTAGTTGATATAATGATCACCATAAGGCATAGCAGACCATCCATTTTTCTTCACCAGTCAGAAAGTACATCCGAAACGCTTCCTCGTACCGATTTTTCCTCTGCGCATCCGATCGAAAATAAGCCAGATACGTCTTGTCTCAACAAAAAGTCGATTCTACTTCCACACTCAAGAAAAATAAAGCCCTCGAGTATGTATACTTACTTATTGTGTTATGTTTGTTCTCAGTCAACTCGATTCTGATGACTTTCATACTTAGATAACGTTCCAATTTTCTCAGACCCCAGGTTTTTTCTGCGCGCTAATGTTTGGTAACCACCCCAAAGTAAAAAAAGTAGGCAGATACCAGTTTCTTGCCAGTCAAACAAATTTCTTTCGAGCACTGTTATTTTCAGCCAATTGTCACTCATGTGTTAGCTACACAGTTTATCACTGGAAGTAGAGGATAAGTTACTTTGCATGTTTTTTTCCTCCGCATTGACTTGCGTTTCCGTTTATAATCACTGCATTGCTAGTTTAGACAGCTTTTCAATCTCTATTCTTCCTGAACATAATTCGTCTTTAGCGATAAGTGGGCATTCTGTTACAGGTTGCTGTGAATCCGAGTAATTGAACGGTCAGTTTGTAGCCGTGGATTATCCGCCCCATTTTAAAGTCAGATTTTGCTTTTTCATTTTTTTGCGGAGGAGTCTGATTTTTCGATTGAGAGGACTTTCCTCTAGAGGCCTGTCACGCGAATTTTTCAAGATGACACTTAATTCTCGAGTATTCTTCCCGTTCCAGGGACGACTGCGATGGAGCAACTGACAAGCGCTCCTTCGGAACAGGTTAAAGTTTTGCCAAATCCAACTCCTCAAACACCCCTCTCCGAAGTAATACGCAAGCCTGGCGACTCACTGCCCAAAACACCGAGTGACACAAGAATGGACCACGCAAACCATGCGACTCCCGCAAAATTTGTCGACAGAAAGCCTCTTGTGCAGGAATACGAGCAAAGGTGCCGGGCGGGCTCCGAAAAGGAAATAATAAATCTTATCGTAGTTGGTATGTGTGGTGCATACTACTTTTCCAATTTCTGTAACGCGCTAAGTCATCAACTTTCATGCATTTAGGTTTATCTGTTCGAAGTCATTTTCTGTGCTTTTCTGCTCATCATTCGGGTTCACCTACCTTCCGCTCAGTGACCTTTTTATCCAACCAGCCACGGCTTTGGCACAGTCATGTTTGGAGGACGAGTAAATTACGGCTTCCTGGAATAAAGGCCCATTCAGTTGCGGTCGGATTGGATGATTGAAAGTCTCTCAGTTGTCCTGGGGGAGTTCTCCGCTACCAAATGTCGAAAGATTTTCGAACTCCAAAAACACGAATCGTCTTGTTATGAACTCCTACATTCGAGCCAACTCGCTAGCTGCTCCGTTGTTGGCGTTTTGCGATCAGTGCTGAATGCTCCAACCGGGTCTTGCCTGGGACAATACAGTTGCTGTATTTGACATCATGTTCCAGTACCCGAGAACTGCATTCCGTTCAAATTTTCAATCGGTGGTAGATTTTCGCGTAGACGAAACAAATGTCAGTAGACATGCGACTCTATTGTCGCTAAACTAGGAATTCAGGACAGAGGTTGAACACATCTCAGCTCACAGTAATTATTTTCTTCTCAAGATATAACTGGCTTCTCCCCCGTGTACAGGGTCGTCAAAGTAGACGTCTCGAACTTTGGTAAAACAGAAAAGGTTCCTCCACGTGAAAATTTTCGACTCCTACGCCTTATCCACAACTGCATAGTTGGCGAATCTCGGGAATTGTCTTAAAACCTACCATCGCGAACGTAGAAGTATTACTAGGCGGTTTCAATGCATGAAGTTTCCACGTTATTCAATGGGTAAAACTTTTGAACGTTTGATTGTCTTTCTTCGACGCTCATTTATCTATGCTAAAAACAGAACAATATTAGGAAGGGAATTGCCACAGACTACATGCGTGCAGCACCCTCTATCATTAGGGATAATTGCTATGTTTTGACCATGATACTCGACACAAAAGGACTCGAGTCTTCTTGAGTACGTTTTAAGCCAGTCTACTGATCAACTGCCAATCACGATATATTTATCTTTTATTCTTATTAAGAGTGGCGTGTTTGGCGGTTTTTTCTTAAAAAATGCTGTGGATTGAGCTGACGAATGCCCTTCTGAACGTTTGGTTCAACTAGCAATTGGCGGCGTCTCCTGTCAGTGAAGTAGTGGAAAGTCGTTGCTCCGAGCTTTTCAGCCACGCATTCAACTGGCCCGAAAATAACCTTCGTTTAAATTCTTGTCCTGAATTAGCGCTGCTGTTACCACGAGTAATATCGGCTACCGCACCAGCCAGTTGCTCGGTCTTCGCCAAAACCCTTAAAAACTAGGTCACGAGTATACGATACGCCTTTCAAGACACTCCTTCCGTACATATATGAAACGTTATCTGTATGTTAAAGAGACATCCACCACCTGCAAGTACTCGATCGACGAAATTCGAGATGAGGTTTCCGAATTCGTCTCTTGCCGTGTTCGCAGAACGGCTATACAGTTAGCCAGGAACACGGCTCCTCATATATGTCCTCCCTACAGATGGAGGTGGCTCGTCTGTGTGCTACGTTTTCTTGAAAGATGAGATCATCCTTGTTGTCCTCTCACTCGAACTCACCATGGCAGCAACGACTTTGAGGTTTTCAGCCAAAGACGCAATGATAGCCGGCTGAAATCACATCTCCATGGCCGGACGACGCCTTCTCCTTACTGCGTGGGTTCGAATCCCACCGAGGCGTCGAGTTTTTCACAGTCGGGTCAGTATGAATTATTCAAAATCTGCCAAAACATCCATGAATTACGTGAGCCTGGTTGTCATCTGGTGGATTCTAGGTGAATTACTTAGGAAATCCTGCTTGGGCAGTTAACTTACTGTATCACCATAAACAATCTTATGCGCTTTTACACCATCACGATGTGTTAAAAGTCGTTGTTTGGAAGGCTGCCAGCTGACGGGATAATACGGTCCTTGCTAGACACAGTCAGGCTGCGGTGGCTTCTGCGGCATTCCCACTCATGAAATCCCAGCCGTTGCTGTGTATCCGTGAAAGCCCGGTCAATCGTGCGTGGACCGGGCGTGTGTGGCACGCGTAGACGGGTTGTTTAGCCCGGTCTGACTGTGCCCGATCCCACCTCCGGTCTTCCCAGCTCTGTCTTGACACCTGACCTAGGTGGATGAGGGAGGCGAGAGTGCGCTCGATGCTGCGTAAGTCTGTTTTCACTTAAATGATTCACGGACAGGACACTGTCCTGTTGTCCGTGTTGTGGGACACATAGTGGACATCGTTGTTCACGACAGTCAAACTGACGCGACTATGAAACACTCCTATGCCTGACGACTTTATCAAGCCTCTGGGCAGTTTTTTACAAACTACTCGACAGCGCTTGTAAAAACCTACGGAAAGGCAATAAGTTTCAGCCCTCGGCTCATCCTGAACTGCGCATTGTACATTCAAGTTTTTGTACATCTTTTTTTTGCTTAGGGCACGTGGATGCGGGCAAAAGCACACTCATGGGCAACGTGCTCTACCAGTTGGGCCACGTCAGTGGTAAACAGTTGGCAAAGTACCAATGGGAAGCCCAGAAACTGGGGAAGGCCTCCTTCGCCTACGCTTGGGTACTGGATCAGACTTCAGAGGAGCGAACTCGCGGCATCACAATGGACATTGCACAGACGGCGTTTGAGACCAACAGGAAGAGGGTATGCAAAATTCGGATGTCCGCTTTTGATGTTTGCAGGCTTACCACAAACTGCCCATTTGGTGCGGAGTCTGCCATCTACTGTACGTGAGCCAAATTTTAGGAAACATCTCTACTCACTCCGAAACCGGTTCAAATAAGTTGACGAAAGTCCGAATTAATTATGGACGACCTTAAGGGAAATTGAAATATTTAAGAAATACTAAGAAGAGCATTAGGTTTTTAGAGATGACAATTTTTTGAGAAGGGGAGATTCGGAGAACGTCTTTGTAAGTGAGAAAACCCAATTTTCGGAAGTACAGAAAGTCTGACCATGCAAATAACTGGGTAAGTAAAACAGCTATTAACATAGGGAATATAATGTAACGTTGATTTCTGCCTGTAAACATTTACGAAGTAACATTTTCTCCATGGAACGGGACACTTTCTGGAACGGGCTAGGCTAATACCTAACATGTGCAACATAAGAACCGGACGGCAATGAATCCCTTATGTGGCCTTTATGGTCCTTCCACTCAGCTGGGATCCGAGCCGTCCCCGTTTTCTTGTTGTTTGAAGTCTTGGTTTTTTGTGTGTAAATCAGGGGCTGGTGGCACGCGTAGAAGCTGATTCAAGTCGAGTCAGCCCCCGGCTTCCTCTACGAATCTCAGTCTCCTTGATTCTGTCATGACACTGATCCCAGATGGGTGGAGAGGAGAGAGTGCGGTAGATGCAGCAAAAGTCTAATACCACTAATAAAATAGTTCGCGTTAAAGTCACCGTCCCTGCGTCCATCCTGCTGTGGGGAACACGATGTAGACATCGTCGATAACGACGGTCTAACTTTCATGTGGAACGTTAGACTTGAATGCACAATGACCCACTGGATCCAGGTTCAGGCCATGCGTGTGCCAGCACCTGAGTGTCTGACTCCTTGCCATCTGATGACAACTAATAAGCGAGAACTGACCATTCCAGAATTCGTCACCCTTGTTGGTAACGCCTTTCCAAATCAGGCTGTCGAGGTACCGCCAAGTGAGTTTGTTAGGCATCCTTTGTGTTGACTACCAAGGAATACCGAGTTACAAACCCCTCACAACTACTTGACCTTTATCCCGTCGTGACGGGGCAGAATTTGAAGACCGCCATTTCGTGGTGCCGTAAGGCACACAGGCGACGAGGTCTGAGACGGTCAAGGAAGTGCACCATCTAATGCTTAAGCCGCGGGACTAGTTCCTTCTCGATGGTCTGATTGTTTCGCGACCGACACTGTGTTTTTTTGTTTTAAGGCTCCGATGTCAAGACCAAAAACTAAAAATATCGAACGAGAAAGAGCTCAGACTCAGAGCTGGTGCCATAGAGTATCCCAATAACCAGCCCCGAACGCATCTTCGCAGAGTCTGCTTTATCTGAATATGTTGATTAAGGAGGTCCTCAGTAGGCTCCTATGTGAACGACTAGACTGCTTCCTAATCACGGAGACTTACTCCTTCAATTTCCTCCTATATGGTCTGTGCCACATTTTTACGTTGGGAACATAGTTTGCAGCGCACTGACCTTGTGGATCGAGATAAATAGTGCTGTTTGGGTGCCATTCTGAATAGGCGCAGTGACGGCTGTTTATCATCATATCCCCGATGACGATGCTGATGCTAATGGGTACACATGATGCAAACACAAACAACGTTCCCTTCCAGGGGCGAGCTGCAAGAAGAGAGAGAAGGTGGGTGGTAGTGGTGGTTTGGTGATGCCGAGAGTATCATAAAAAGCACAACCTTCTATTCTAACCCTTTGCACCACCCTTTAAGGTAAAGTAGATGTGCTAACTCGTGAAATGTTAACGGGAAGACTGTAATGCGTTTTCGACTCGGAAAGATTACTTTAGTAGGGTTGTAATATTAGGTACCGTGCAGCGTAATTCCAAGATATTTCAGTTACTTTGAGATGCCGGCCTTTGACCGAACTTGTTTCCGGCCGCCTGCAAAAACTACACTCCCTAAAAATGACTACTTAAGCAGTATGAATTTTTCTCTGGATTTTCGATGCCCATTATAACCTCAGACGCATTTCATATGAAACGTGCATCTTTGGTCATGGAGTTTGAATCCAAAGTGATCCACACTTGGGGTTGGATATGACTGGTTGATGACGGCCATTAAGTCAGAAATGACCATTCCGGTCTCCCTTGTCTTTGTCAGTATCGTCTCATCTAATTCTACTACCAGTCGCTGTGCGACTGCCTGCGAGGGTTTAAGTATGAGCCCCAAGGCACAACTGAACGATCATGTTCTCTAACCTGGTCGGTGAGCGCCCATCTGTCATAAGGGCGTCGAAAATCCATGAAAAAAGTATACTACTTAAGTGGTTATTTTTTGGAATGTAGTTTTTTCAGGCAGTCGGAAAGAAGTTCATTTGAAAGCTGGCATCCTGAAGTAACTAAATTATCCTGTGAGTATGCTGCGCGATGATGAATCTTACAACCTGACTTAAGTAATCTTTTCGAGTCGAAAACGCACTTCATAATTTCGGTTAACATTTCACGAGGTGTGTGGCTGTGCCCACGCCTGATCTAGCCGGCCTCGGTGATGTGGTGCATTGTACCTCTCCACGCGGCTTACCCGTTAGCCTAGCTACTAGCTACGCGGCCTGTCCATAGGTTGCGAATAGTGGAACGGGTTTCGGCGGAAGTTAGCTGCGAAAAAACAGGCTCTTGGGTTTGGAGAATAAGCATTCGCGAACCAGCAGCGACAAGGCTACCAGAGCGCGGAGGGCTGAGGTCTGGCACGCCGACTACTGCTATATAAAAAGCCGTAAAACCCGATGACGGCACTATGACGCGGTGACCGTGAACCACCATTAAATAAGTTTGCTTACCACCGCTGCTTTGTGGCTAGATTCTTGAGCCAGAACGGTAGGGGAGACAACCTCGAACAAACAATCTGAGCGGCTGTTGAAGACCCGCTTGTACTCAAAATTCCCGAGAAACCTCATGAAATATGTTCGGCTACCCTTTTAGGTTGTCCTTCTCGATGCACCTGGCCACCGAGACTTTGTGCCCCAGGTGATTGGTGGTGCCGCCCAAGCCGATGTTGCCCTCCTAGTGGTGAACGCCACAGCCGGCGAGTTTGAAACGGGCATGCAGGTTGGTGGGCAAACTCAAGAACATGCTCGCTTGGTGCGACTACTCGGTGTATCCTGTCTGATTGTGGTGGTGAACAAAATGGACACCGTGTCCTGGTCTGAGGAACGCTTCAATGAGATCAAGACCACCATGCTGGCCTTCCTGAAGACCATCAACCAGACCGCCGTTGCCTTCTGCCCTGTATCGGGTCTTTTGGGCGTGAACCTGATCAACTCTACTAACTGTCCGCCGGAGGCTGACATCGACGAACTGGCGCCCTGGTACGATGGCCCCTGCCTCTTGGACATAATAGGTACACTTTCCCCCCCGCCCCTATAAATGCCTCAATTTTTCCATCATTATTGCAGTTGCGTTTTTATTTGTTTTTTTTTCAATCACCGAACAGAAGTTACTGCACTTCTGTTTAATTTTTATGGGGATCTTCTTGGACAATGAAACAGAGTGGACGAACGTCCGTCAGGACTGTGTTGTTGGGATAAATGACTGAGTAAAGGCGGAACGCTAAGAGTTTTTGCTTATTCCCGCTAGCGGTCCTGACACGGCGATTCGACCTCGCCTGAGCATTCATAGCTCGGAAACCTTGAATTTGAGGAACAGGGTAAACGCCTATTACTTTTGTCTGGTCCTATTAAACAGTGGAAAATGTCCTAGAAGATTCACTACTAACAGAATATGCTATTTCCTGTTGAGCAACGACACAACAGTTCGACCACGGCTCAACGAGGTGGACGCAGCCGTGGTTGGCAGGTTGGTGCTGAGGTCGTTGTTGATGTTGACGTTTCGTATGTCTCTTCGCTTTGGCTGCATTTTAGGGTATATCCTCTAGTCCTTTTTCTCCCTTGACGTGCCAAGTAGTGCACTCATAAATAGGGACTGTCTAGTCATCCCGGGTGGCCGCCGAACACCACTATTGATCACGACTTTGGTGCAATGGGAAGACGATCCTAACTACCCGCCAGGCCTCCTGACACCCTCCCTGCAAGACTTTTTCTCCTGATGAGAGGGGGGGGGGGTCTGGCTTCAGTGAAAGGATTAACAGGCAGGCCAGATGCACTCATCTGGTGTAGCCCGACAGTCAAGGACGGCTACACGCATGGCTAAATGGAGCCACTAACGAGAGTTGGGTGCCAGGGCCGTGCGAAGTAGAAGCAGTCACCAAGGGATGGAGGACAGTTATGAATGGGATGCTCTCCCAAAATGTCTGCATCTGAATTGCGGACCTGTCTTGTGAGCGGTTGAAAGGCGTTGCAACAAAACTCCGCGGAATGTCAAGTAACAGAACATTTCTGCACGGAAACGGGAGAGCTTACATTGTAAAAAATTACTTAAACTCGGACAAGCAGCGCCTGTACACCCAACGTGTTCACATGAACGCAGCATGTTCTCTTCCTTTGATTCTAATTCGTGGAAAAGTGTGAGACCACGAGGACGGCATCAAAATCCCCATTTTCACAGCCGGCTTTAATTCTAGAATTGCGAATGTGGAACCTTTTCTCTGCCGGAGCCTAGGTAACAAGTTATGACAAAATCAATGTGCTTTATACAACGTCACTTTCTTGCCAAACTAATTTCAACCCCATAATAAAAGTTCTCTAGCTGCAATTTCATCTTACTGGCGAATATATCGGCGACCAAGCATTGTTCAGGTCTTTTTTTTCTACTGAAGCCAGTCATAGCCATCAACTAACAATTACGCGAAACTGCATCACTTCACCCAATGCACGTAGAAAATCATTTAAGCGAGTTTTTCCGAAGGAATTTCCGCCAGTTTTGTACGTCTCGAGATTCATCGTACTGGTGGTGGCATCAGACAAATCCCTGAAATGATTTTCGGCCTTGGGGGTTACTTTTAGTTGGCCCTAATTTGGACTCCGCGGGCGCTATCTGACAGCCGTCCAGAACTTGTGCAACACTAAAGTGTCGTCAAGTCACTTTTTTCCCTCTTTCCGAAGTCCCTTTTCACTCAGAGAACCCTGATCACGCCCTGGTCAACTTCTTGCATTTCAGACGACCTAGAACCCGTGGAGCGGCCGGTAGGTGGCCCATTCCGCTTTGTCGTCAGCGACATTTTCAAACCCGTGGGATCAAGTGTTCCTGTGGTCGCTGGTCGCATTGTGTCTGGTGCAATCTCAGCGGGTGTAAACCTGCCCACGAGTCGTATTGTCTGCCTTCCCATTGGACACTCTGGAGCTGTAAAGTCGATACGATCTCTGTCGGGCACCGGCGATGGTGGAAAAGTTGACGGTTGGTCATACTTCCCTCTCCGTGTCTGTGCTTCTTTGTATTCCCATTTGATCTTCACCCCTCCCCCCCCTTAAAAGATCACTTGAGTTTCTCGTTTATATCAACCGATTTTTTGCCCCACTTGTTCAAAACTGTTGTCGGAGAAATTACAGACTCCCAACACTTTTAGTGTGTCGTAGCCACCACCAACCCCTGTCTATCGCTAAATCACAAAATCGGTGCAACATTGTCCGGTTGGTTGGAGAACACGCGTTACCCCTGTTATTAGATATACAGACAAGGACGAGCCCCACGGGACTTCATTGGCACTCGTAAATTTCGTCACAATTATCGCAAAGAAATTTGTTTGATCTAGACGCCTACCAGACAATTTTTCTAACGGGACACTGTCGGGAAAGTGTTTGCCGACGTCATTCTAGATCACATAACTTTGAGAGAGTGTATCTGCCGAAGACGTGGTAATGCTTATGTGGACTGTGGAGAAATTGATGTGATTTAGAAGTTTTACGGACAAGGATATGAACACTGGAATTACCACTACTGGCATGTTTGTCATAATCGACCGTTGATATCGCAAACCGAAAGTGCACGTCCGACGTTTGAATCCGAATCGGTTGGAGAAGTGCCGTCGCCACTTCCACCACTCAACCGACATGACGTAAGCCACCAGTGCAGTGGTGGAAACTTTGCTCGATTATCAGCTAGGTCGGGTTACAGTCCCCGGATGTGCACCCCGCGGTGTCTGGATATCACTGACTGATGACTGCAGGTGAGCCAGAAATGACCGCTATTCAGCGTCGCCTGTCTTCGCGACTACTGATTCATAACGCTGATGGGACCTACTGGAACGCACATCCAGGAACACAAAACATCCTGTCTGTTTCATATAAAATTCTAGTGGATGTCTCCAAGAGGGTTCGTTACGCTGTCATCACCTTCGAATGTGTCCTCAGTGCTGTTATGGAACCCGAGTTATTCCGGAGCTTGAGTAGCCGACTGCGCACACACCAAACGGATCAATAAGGCAGTGGCAGAAAGCGGCAACTGCGCAGTTCCCCGCATCAGCGAGCGAGCGATCGCCTCGCCATCTTGAACCTGCCAGCCTTCTTGGAAGGTGCGACTCAGCCCAGTCCCGCAGCCGACGGAGAAGGCGACCTCGAAATCTCCCGTAATATCTCCCTAACTGTAAAAGGAGTTGGCTCGACTGCCTCGAAGTAGACCAAGCATCGAAAAAAGATCCTCCCAAGCTCGACATGCTTGGTGATCTGCTATTTAAAGGGCAAAGACAACCCTGGAAGTTATAACGACACAGACTCTCAAGAGGTTTGACAAACACCAGGGCGCAGTGGCACCACACTGTCATCAACGTCGCGTAACGTCGTTCTCGTTGCTGATGCTGCATCTTTAGCACATGGGTTGGGAGATGAGATCGGGTGTGGGTACTTTGCACACCTCCCACGAACCAAACTTGACTCGTCTAAAAGTCGTTATCAGCGAGTTGCCATAAGGTCTTACAACAGTTACTGCACAAACAAAATGCTCTTCGGGAATTGCTTTGGATTTTAAAAAACCTTACCTCACGTTGGTGTCCAACCGTGTCAGTATATGTCACTCTAGACAAAGAGCCAAAGGCAAGAGTACCGTTACAAGGACCTGGAACACCGGGTCCTGTCAAGGACGCAAGGCTGATTCGACCACATTAGTAGGTCAAAAACAAACTTGATCTCGTCGTGCTTAAGGTCTGTACGGTGGACGCGAAGGACTTGAAGAAGGCGCAAACTCATGCTCACTGGGTACGCAGTTCGTCCGTCTCAAGCGACGAGGACTACCACTGGCCCCCTCGATAGATTTGCGTCTGACTTAGTTCGTAGTGATAGGCACTTTCTGGGCGTCCACCCCACCCTCTCTCAACACTCACCATATTCCAGGGTCAAGGGAACTGTTACAGTGCCTGATGAGGCCGAGGCGACCTGGTTCCCGACACACTTTATTGGCGGACCCAGTACAGCCCGACGCCCAGTCCTGAGTGAGACGGGGTCATCCTGCTGGTTGGCGACCTATGACGCCACGGCTCTTAAAGTGCTGGTTTGGAGGCACTTTTGGTTGCCTACAGCGAGGTACCTAGGTGTCGGACGACACGAGCCGGACCGACCTCTCTCCTATGACACCAGTAAGTCCGAGCCAAACTGCCTAAAGGTGGGATCGGGCGCACCATCCACCACATATTGGGCTTCTGCTACACACCTGCCATGCTCTCTTATGTCTACTGCGCCTTTTTTCCCTACTTGTCCTCCTGTCTGAGACACCAACTGACCGTTTGACGCCCTCTTTCCCTCGTGTTGTTGCTCACACTGGCACCCCTTCCTGTTCAGGTTGTTTGCTAGACCAAAGTGTAAAGTTCGCCTTTGCGGGCGACCAGGTGGCCCTTATCCTCCAAGGCATTGACCCACACGTCTCCCTGTCCCCCGGCGATGTCATCTGCGACCAGAGCAACCCCGTGCCCGTCTCCTCCCGCATCCGTGCCCGTCTGCTGGTGTTCGCGCCTCAGCAGCCCATCACACGGGGCTACCCTGTCATCTTCTACTATCATTGTAACAGTGTGCCGGCCACCATCACAAAACTCCTATCAGCCACCCTGAAGGAGAAGAAGGCCAAGAAGGAGGTGGTGAAACCAAGGTGCTTGCCCGACACTGCCGAATTGATCTTTGCTACAATTACTTCTCCGAGGGTTTTCAGCCTCTTTCCCCCTCAAACCCAGCCGCCCATCACATTTGTAGTTTATTTCACCTTCTGAATGCGCACCTCTTCTGTCGTTTTTAGGTGTCTTTTGGGCAACTGTACTGCCGAAGTGGAGATAACCTTTGAGCGGCCAATCTGTCTGGAGACGTATGACACCTGCAAGTCTCTGGGTCGGTTTATGCTACGGGTAGCAGGCGATTCCATCGCTGGTGGAACTGTGCTAGCTGTAAGCATTTAGTCCCGTTTAATCCTCGACAACCCTTAGTAACATTTTGTTATTTAAAAAATCAAAAAAGATCACGCTGCTTAGAATCACAGTAGGCATTGGTTGAAATCCTAGACTATGAGGAGCAGGCCCTGGCAATGGTTCCAACAAGCACTTAGAATCCAAGCAAATACATATGTCGTTTATGTAGTGTCCTTTCATTTCTGAATAAAAAGCCAACATTCCACCGTGGGCCAATTATCATGGGTCTATTTTCCGTGCTTATTATTACTCGAACCTCAATAAAGCACCCTTTTCCCGATAAAGGCGAGTACCTGCGGTCCGGGTGCGTATTTGACTTGAGCTAAAGAAGTCTAGTCGGCAACGGTGTAGAGAAGGACCCCACTTAACTGTCAGTAGACTGTGGATCGTGCCATACGTGATTCATGGTAAAGGGAGTTTTATGAGTGAGGCAGCACGCTAGACAGTAAGCTGACGAAATGAAAGAAAAGACAAAAATTGCCAGGATTTATACCGGGTGTCTTATCCTACGCTATTGTACGACAGCGGAAATGAGAGTAGCAATTAAACAATAAACAAAAAGTAAATTTTACAAAATAACGGATTCCGAGTTAAGGTGTGAGGTCGTGGGAAGTAATCGTTGTTGGCAATGTAATTTCTGCATCAGCCTGCAAATGTGTGCCAAGATAAAACCCCATATGACACGATCCACAGTCTACTGACAGTTAAGTGGGGTCCTTCTAGGCGAGCGATAGGAGCGTTTTGTTTTTTTTTTTTAAGTGAGCTGTTGATCTCATATTGAAATGCATTGCCAGAGACGGCGGGTGAAGCAATAGCCGGTGCCGTCAATTTGGAAATGACTGCAATGGTCTGTACGCAGACGTGCGCTCAATGTGCCGGGCTGCCTGGGATCTCGCCAGAGGCCTAGGGTGGAGTCGGTTCGCGTTTGTCCGGCTCCCAAGGTGAGAAGCCTTCCAGGCGGCTGTCCAATTGAACGCGTGACTCTTTTCGGGGTTATGGGCAGCAACTAGGGGTAGTTAATTTTCTACAGTGAGTTACCGATCTCATGAAATTTTGGCCAAAATTCTGTAATGCGTTTTCGATTAGGAAGGAGTACTTAGGTGGGGTTGTGATGCTGACTATCCTACGGCATAATCCAATAGTATTTCGGACTTGGCAGGATGTCGGCTTTTGAATGCGCTTCTTTTCAACCTCCGGTAGAAACCGTACTTGGTAAAAAAAGGACTACTTAAGTAGCATGCATTTTCACATTGATTTTTGATGGTCTTATAAATTCAAATATATTTTATGAAAAACGTGAGCAAAATATTCTTTATTTCACTCGTTTGATAGAGGATTACGTCAAGTCCATATTTTGTACTCGAAGAAGGAGTATAATTAGGTTCTAAAAAGGTTTTCTAATTCCCGAATAACTTGGAGCCTGATCACTCATTGCATCAGCGCCTAGTGATTTCAGACTTCAAGGCGCATGCGTTCCACGTAAGAACAATCACATATTCTTCTATGCCTTTCGGAAGATGCGATATCGAGTCTATAAATATTTGCAATGAATGCGGACTATGTTGTACATTTCTTGTGGAGCAGTGGTAAACGGACAGGTACGATGCTGTAGAAATGGGCACTGCACAGTCTTAAAAAATCTCATAATTAGAAACTTTTTAAAAACCTAAATATACACTTTTTTCGGGGTATAAAGTGTAAACAAAATGTGATTTTCTACCCAACCTATAAAAGAAAGCATATTTTGTGCATGCTTTCTATAAAATTTATTTGAATTTATAAGACCATCAAAAATTAGTGTGAAAACGCATGCTACTTAAGTAGTCATTTTTAACCGAGTACGCTTTCTACAGGAGACTGAAAAGAAGCGCATTCAAAAGCCGACATCCTTCCAAGTCCGAAATACTATAGGATTATGCCGTAAGATAGTCAGCATCACTACTCCACCTAAGTAATCCTTCCTAATCGAGAACGCATTACAGAATTTCGGCCAACATTTCATGAAATCGGTCACTCACTGTATGTTGGGAGGGGGCCCATCGATCAGGTTACAGGATGTGTTTGTCTCCTTGTGCCTTGCGGCTCTGTCTAGAGCCCTCACAGTCAGCCGCACAGCGGCTAGCGAAATAAGCAGAAGGAGAGTTCCTGCAAAGACGGGGAGACCGTAATGACCATTTCCGGTATCTTAGTCGTTCTCAGTCAACCCAAGCTTGCCGCACCTAAGCCTCAATCCCGCGCTCGTGTATACTTGCACAGCGACAACACCAGGAGGAGATCGCCGTAATTTAGCACTCTGATGCTGGTGACCAAGTTATCCTCAAATCAAGTGGGGACACCTGAGATTAATGCAGGCGCTGCTGATTCAAATATGTGGGGTTGCGTAGCCATCGAACCATACAAGTTCTACACCTCATGAGCATCTACGGTATTCATCTGTTACTGTCTTGGATGAGGGGTTCGAGAGTGAATCCGAAACTCCCGGTGAATAGGCAAGTCTTGTTTCAACGAACGAGTCTCCTTGACCGCCGTACCTTTCGTTCAGGATTTTCACAATCCTCTCATTGCCAGGATGCTTAGTGATTTCGGCGTGTCATTTTACCTCACTATTTGGTTTATTTACGCCGTACTTAAAAGTAATCTTAAATTTCGTCCGAATTACCACTACTGCTTTTTATTTCAGCTTTTTCAGAAGAAGTCCGGTCATTCTACAACTACCTCGGCCAACTCATTGAACTGATTTCCTACTGACCCACCCTCATCCCGTTCGGGTGCTGTCCAGTTTTTCATGCCCATCGTACACTTCCCTTTACTTTCCCCAAAATTCCACAGCGTCTTTCATGCGAAAATCATGTGCGGTTGCATCTCCTCTCCAGACCGCTAGATGCTCCCTCCCTCTATGTCCAATGTATGCTTTATGCGGCGACTCTATGGCCCACCTGTTTCTGCTGCTCTGGCTCTTTGAACAGTTGAATGTCTTTGGCCGTTGCTGGATGCCTTTTTGAACTGCCTCCCTGTCGGTGGAGGTCTTTCTACTCCGACCTACACGCACATATATACATATATATGTATATATATATAATTGTATAGGCTCGCCCGTGTCTTCTCTGATGGGTCTATAATAGGGAAATAAATGATGCTTCGAATTCCTCCTTTATTTTTGTTAAGCGGTTGCCATACTTGGATTCAAACGAAATGTCGAACATGAAACAGGTAACTGGGACCGCGAGGCATTCGACAGATCGTCAGTTGGACCCGACATTTGGACCCGTACCCCGGGAGAGTGGTAGGGATGACTGAGCTGATCGAGGGCTAACTGGCCGGTCAGTCGCTTCAGTGTGCCTACATCAGCTCATAGGCGTGCCCATTTTATTGTCTCATCGATCGTCGCGAACGATGATATCCACTGTGTGCCCCTCATCGTGGTATGCGGAGGGATGGCGACTTACGTTTGAATTAAATCATAGTGATAACAGACTTGCGCGACACCGGCAGCACGTGCCACACACACGCCTGTTTTGCACACGATGGACCGAGATCTCACAGGCACACAGAGACGCCTCTGATATCATTTGAACGAGACTGCCACTGACGTTACATTGGTAGGGGGGTTTTGCTGCCTGGCCGTCTCTCCTAAACGGACCGAGTTATCCCGTTAGTTGGCAGCCTTCCAACCCACGACTTTTAGTGCATTATGATAGTCTAAAAGCGCGTCAGGTTATTTATAGTGAGGAAATTCGCTGGAGTGTCATGGGGACGGAGTCCTCCAAGTCGAATTCACTCATTCCATTACACCAGTCCGAGCGGGCCAGCCACTTAATGCTGGGGTTGAACACTGTCTGATGTAGCCGCAACGGTCCGTCTGCGTGTACCGTACACGACCTGGCCTCCCGCACGACAGCAAGTTTTCACGCGCGTGTGAATGCCACGGAGTCCACGTTAAGGAACCATTGAGTCTGAGTTTAACTTCGCTAACCAGCCACTTTACATACACACAAGGCTGGGTGTGAGGTCTGTGTTCTACCGTTTGTTGGTAACTTTCCGAGCCACGCCTTTCGGCGCGTTGCGGCAAATTCAAGCGCCTCGGGTTTATTGTGGTAAGTAATGCACCAAGATGCAACGGGAGCGTCGGCCCCACTCCCTCCCTCCTGTGCACCATTCGACTCACCGAACCCTCGTTTTGTCCCTAATCGAACTGTTGACGATCGCGATGGGTTCTTCTGTTTCGCCACGTTGCCGGTGGTTCCGTCGTTCAGCAGGGAAATATTATGATCGCATTTATTGCACCTAATGCGTTATCTCATGAACTGTTAACCGATGTTTCGAAATGTGTCTTCGATTAGAAAAGATTACTTAAGGATGGTGGTGTGGCTAACCATCGCGTTATGATGCCAGTTTCCTTCCGGCTACTTGCAAAGACGACGCTGTAAAATTACTACTTAAGTAGTACGGATCTTTCCTACTGATTTTAAATGGCTCTGTACATTTAGATATGCTTCAGAGAAAACTCGCAAATAGATGCGATAGATGTGCTAACGCATAAAGTGTTAACCGAAAGTCTGATTGCGTTTTTGACTCGAAAAGACTACTTAAGTAGAATAACAATTACTTACTCCAGGATGCCGGCTTTTGAATGAACTTCTTTTCTTCCGTCCACGAAAATTACACTCAGTATAAGGGCTACTTAAATAGTATGCAATTTTCTCATTGATTTTATTTTACTCATTTGGAGGGCTATTACGTCTTCTTCCAATTTTATACCTGGGGGTAGGATAAATTCGGTTTTAAAAAACCTTTTCAGCTCCCGAATAATTGTGAACCCAACCTGCCGTTGCACTTGCATTCGGGGTTTCCAAACTAAAAGCTGTATATTTTCCGTGTACGAGAAATCATTCATTGCAATACTTAAGGAAGAGGAGACCACATGGGTTTCATAAAATTTCTCAGTATCCTTGAGCCATATTGTAAACCTTACAAGCAACATTAGTAGACGCAGAGACACGATATTTTATGAACGAGCACTTGGCGGTTTTAAAAAATTTTATAGTCAAAACTTTTTTAAACTAAATTATACCCTTACTTAAAGTATAAGGTTTTAAGGAAGTAATTTTCCTCCAACCGAGTAAAGGAGTAAATACTTTCATGTGTTCTCCACAAAATCTATTTTAATTTATAAGAACGTCAAAAGTCAATGAGGAAATGGTACACTACTTAAGTGGTCATTTTTAGTGAGCGTAATTTCTGCAGGCGGCCGAAAAGAAGTTCTTTCAGAAGCCGGCACCCTAGAGTAATTGAATTATTATTGGTTTATGTCGCACGGTGATTCATATTTCAACCCTACTTAAGTAATCTTATCGAGTCGGAAACGTATTTCGGAATTTCGATTAACATTTCATGCGTTAGCCCATCTACTGTATTTTTGTGCGCCCGGTGAATAGCGAATTACACCTACTTCAAAATTTATACTCAAAGAGGGGCCATTCTAATCGAAATCTCTAATTATGAGATTCTCCAAGGCCGTGAAATTTCACACTACTTAAGTAGTCATTTGTAACGGCGTCGAATTTACAGGCCGCCGTAACGAAGCTCTTTCTAAGGTCGGCATCCCGACGCGACCGAAATATCTCATGATTCTGCTGCTGGATAGTTAGTTTTACGATACTACTTAAATGACCTTTTTTAACTGAAGACCCATTTCAGACTTCCGGTTATTTTTTGATGGGATGGCACATCTGTTCTTTCTTCAGTCTACTTTCCTCTGGTGGTAAGTGTTGAGAGCAGATAATTAATCGGTTCATCGGAGCATGTAGTTATCATCCCTTCAGCTTGGTTTAAAGAGTATCGCCGTCTGGTCCCGTCTAATGAAGGGTCACCGTGTTGGCAGAGCACCTGCCAGGTCACACGAGAACTCACAGGACAATATCAAGGGCAAATATCCAGGCATGGCGAAGGGGTCCGAAATGGCGACTGTTTCAGGCGCACTCAGACGCAACCGGTTTTCCTTGACATACGGTGGATTTGTTGACACATGAAATGTGCCCAAATTTATGAAGCATTTCTTATCGCTCGAGAACCGGCCCAAATATATTGACCAACATTCCCCGTTAATAATGGACCACTTTAAGTAAAATGAAAACAGAAAAATTATTCTTATTGACCCAACTGTGAAAAACTCGGCGCCTCGGTGGGATTCGAACCCACGCAGTAAGGGGAAGGCTTTAGTACAGCCAACGCTCTAACCACTTGAGCTACGAGGCCCCGCCGGACGACGCGAGTCTAATCTGCCAAAAGATCTATGAATTACGTGAGCCTGGTAGTCATCTGGTGAATTCTAGGTGAATTACTTAGGAAATCCCGATTGGGCAGTCAACTTACTGTATCAGATTTGGTGGATAACAGACGTTACAGTAGGTTGGCGGGTACCTTGACCCAAATGTGATTAGACTCGCGTCGTTCGGCGGGGCCTCGTAGCTCAAGTGGTTAGAGCATTGGCTGTACTAAAGCCTTCTCCTTACTGTCGTGGGTTCGAATCCCACCGAGGCGCCGAGTTCTTCACAGGTGGGTCAATATGAATTATTCAAAATCTGCCAAAACATCTATGAAGAAAAAATATTCTAAGTAATATTACATTGCTTAGGGAAAGGTTTTTTGGAAAAACAGAAATATTGAAAACGCCACAAATCGTGCCGAATGCGTAAACGTAAGTTCTGTATGCTCATAAAGCCTACCCATGCATAAAATGGGTAAGTAGAACAGCATGGGTGGAGTAACATTCGAAAACCGACCTTCAGTGAAGGTTGCGCCTGGATATCCCTCAAGAAACAGTATTATGCAAGGATATCGGTTAGCCAACAGCCTACAGTTTGAGTCTGGATTCCAAAACGTTTTCGCAAGTTGTGGCTGTGTTTCTTCTGTTAATTTACTTTGTTTAGGGCAAACAGGGTTTCGATTGATTTTACCGATAGGGACGTCACAGAAATAAGTGTCTTCATAAAATCTTGTTTTGACAGGTCTGTCTCTGGCTAATAAATTTAAGTAGAATTAGCACATTCAACCACAAACATCTGCCAAGTTTCCGAGTTTCCTTGTAACATCGATGAATGCTTTACGGTTTTCCGTGTTCCAAATCAACTGCTCATAAAGAGAGCTTCCGTACTGTGTTTATCAAAAATCTCAAAATAAACATTCCTTGAAAGCATTTACCGAAGTAATAAATTCTTGGACATTCTTTCTAATGCAGATGAATGTTTGGGTCATATGTGTGGACTCACGCAAACATGAGACCTCGTCCCCGAGAAAAGTGAAGCTCCACAACGAAATTCGGCAATGAATACGCTCTAGACAAATTGAAAAACATTCTCTTTTAGGCTACCTATTTAAAAAGCGCCTTAGTAAGTTACTTCGCTGACGGATATCTACGTATTTTGCCTTTTTTTCGAGGTAAATCACTGTCCACCCATTCGGATCCGGAATATAAGGACATTGACAATTGAAGACTGGAAGCCAAGTACTGCTTATGAGCGTGGTTCAGCCCTACCGCTATGTAAAATTGTGGAGAAGAAAGCGAATATGGAAAGGACGGAAAGTGTGTTTACATTCTTCTCCACGCAAAACCAACGATGATATTCTTCATGCGGTAGTGACAGTGGGGAAAAATTTAAATCTTACAAAAATCTGAAGATGTGCGCTGGTTGGCGTCATGTAGTTTTCTATTGGTGCATTTTTTAAGAATACGTCCCT